GCAACTTTGCTGTAGTTGTTGATTACTTCTAAAAGTTTTCCAATGGATTCTTTGGGGTTTTCTATATGTAAGATCATGTCGTCTGCAAACAGCGAGAGTTTCACTTCTTCCCTCCCTATTTGGATTCCTTTTATTCCTTTTTCTTGCCTGATTGCTCTGGCCAGGACCTCCAGTACTATGTTAAATAAGAGTGGTGATAGAGGGTATCCTTGTCTCATTCCTGTTTTCAGGGGGATGGGGTTCAGTTTTTGCCCATTGAGTATGATGTTGGCTATGGGTTTGTCGTATATGGCCTTTATTATGTTGAGGTAGTTTCCTTCTATGCCCATTTTGTTCAGAGTTTTTATCATAAATGCCTGTTGGATCTTGTCAAATGCCTTCTCTGCATCTATTGAGATGATCATGTGGTTTTTATTCCTCAGTTTGTTGATGTGGTGTATCACGTTGATTGATTTGTGGATGTTGAACCATCCCTGTGTCCCTGGTATGAATCCCACCTGGTCATGATGTATGATCCTTTTGATGAATTGCTGTATTCTGGTTGCCAAAATTTTATTTAGAATTTTTGCATCTATGTTCATCAGTGATATTGGCCTGTAGTTCTCTTTTTTCGTGGTGTCCTTGTCAGGTTTTGGTATCAGCGTGATTTGGGGTCCTTTTCTGTTAACGAGGAGTGGGGAGCAGTGCTCAGAGGGTCCCAGGCTCCCTGAAAATGATGGAGTCATCTGAAAAAGACCCGACAATATGGATGGTTAGGATTTTCCAAAGAGATAAAGGAAGGAATATCATCCATAAAAGGAACAGGAAATCATTAAACAAAAGAGCAGCTCTAGTCAACCCAAGGGTCCATCATGGGTAATGGATAAGCAAAACATGGTCTGTGCACTTGGAATACCGTTCAGCCTTAAAAAGGAATTGTATGCCCTCAGCTCCTTTGTCAAAGATAAGCTGTCCATAGATGTGTGGTTTTATTTCTGGGCTTTCAATTCTGTTCCATTGATCTGTGCACCTGTTTTTGTACCAGCACCATGCTGTTTTGATTACTATAGCTTTGTAGTATGTTTTGAAGTCAGGGATTGTGATGCCTCCTGTTTTGTTCTTTTTTCTCAGGATTGCTTTAGAAATTCGGGGTCTTTTGTTGCCCCATATGAATTTTAGGATTCTTTGTTCTAATTCTGTAAAGAATGTCATTGGGATTCTGATTGGGATGGCGTTGAATCTGTAGATTGCTTTAGGTAGAACGGACATTTTAACTATGTTTATTCTTCCAATCCATGTACATGGAATGTCTTTCCATCTGCTTATGTCGTCATCCAATTCTCTCAGAAAGGCCTTGTCATTTTCATTATATACGTCCTTCACTTCCTTAGTTAAATTTACCCCGAGGTATTTTATTCTTTTTGTTGCGATTGTGAATGGTATTATATTCTTGAGTTCTTTTTCTGTTGGTTCATTTCTGGAGTATAGAAATGCTGATTTATGCAAATTGATTTTATACCCTGCAACTTTGCTGTAGTTGTTGATTACTTCTAAGAGTTTTCCAATGGATTCTTTGGGGTTTTCTATATATAAGATCATGTCGTCTGCAAACAGCAAGAGTTTCACTTCTTCCCTCCCTATTTGGATTCCTTTTATTCCTTTTTCTTGCCTGATTGCTCTGGCCAGGACCTCCAGTACTATGTTAAATAAGAGTGGTGATAGAGGGCATCCTTGTCTCATTCCTGTTTTCAGGGGGATGGGGTTCAGTTTTTGCCCATTGAGTATGATGTTGGCTATGGGTTTGTCGTATATGGCCTTTATTATGTTGAGGTAGTTTCCTTCTATGCCCATTTTGTTCAGGGTTTTTATCATAAATGGCTATTGGATCTTGTCAAATGCCTTCTCTGCATCTATTGAGATGATCCTGTGGTTTTTATTCCTCAGTTTGCTGATGTGGTGTATCACGTTGATTGATTTGCAGATGTTGAACCATCCCTGTGTCCCTGGTATGAATCCCACCTGATCATGATGTATGATCCTTTTGATGAATTGCTGTATTCTGGTTGCCAAAATTTTGTTTAGAATTTTTGCATCTATGTTCATCAGTGATATTGGCCTGTAGTTCTGTTTCATGCTGTCCTTGTCAGGTTTTGTTAATAGTTGCTTTATGAACTTTGGTGCTCCTGTGGTGGGTGCATAGATATTTATAAGCGTTATTTCTTCCTGATGAAGTGTCCCTTTGATCATTACATATTGGCACTCTGTGTCTCTCTTTACCTGCCTTATCTTGAAGTCTGTTTTGTCTAATATAAGTATTGCGACACCTGCTTTCTTTTGTTTGCTATTAGCTGGGAGTATTGTCTTCCACCCCTTCACTCTGAGCCTGTGTTTGTCCTTGGAGCTGAGGTGTGTTTCCTGGAGACAACAAATTGTTGGATCTTGCTCTTTAATCCATTTTGCCACTCTGTGTCTTTTTATGGGGCAGTTCAGTCCGTTTACATTGAGGGTGAGTGTTGATGCATGAGGGCTTAATGCTGTCATTCTGTTGCTCGTTTTCCGGTTTTCCTGTGTTTCCTTTGTTTCTCGTCCTGTGTGTTTTAGCCTGTCCGTTGACTTCTGCAATTCCTTATGCTGGGTTTCTTAGGTTTTTCCTTATTTATGTTTTGTGTCTCTGTTCTGTTTTTTAGTTTAGTGGCTACCCTGAAGTTTGTATTCAGAATCTCGTGTATAACATAGTCCATTTTCTGGTGGTCTCTTCCTTCCTTAGCCTAGACTGTTTCAGCCCCTTTCCTCCTCCCCTCCTAAATTATTATTTTCATCTCTTATTCCAACTTGTGTTGTGAGTTTGTGGTTAGAGTGATGATTGTCTTTGCTTTGGTGATTTCCTTCCCTTTATCCTAATGCTGTAGTTGAATATTTGCTATCCTATTCCGATTCTATCTGTTTGTCTCCCTACTCTGTGTTTTGTGACCCCTTTCTCCCTTTTTTTCTTATGTCAGGTGTGAGAGCCTTCTTGAGGATTTCTTGTAGTGGAGGTCTTGTGACTACGAAGTCCCTTCGCTTTTGTTTGTCTGGAAAAGATTTAATTTCTCTCTCATATCTGAAGGATATTTTTGCTGGATAGAGTATTCTTGGCTGAAGATTTTTATCCTTTAAAATTTTGAATATGTCACTCCCATCTCTCCTAGCTTGTAAGGTTTCTGTAGAGAAATCCACTGAAAGTGTGATAGGGGCTCCTTTGTAGGTTACTTTCTTCTGCCATGCTGCCCTGAGTATTCTTTCTTTGTCCTTCATTTTTGCCATTTTTACTACTGTGTGTCTTGCAGTAGGTCTTTTTACATTGACAAATCTAGGAGATCTGAAAGCTTCCTCCACACACGTTTCTCTCTCAATCCCTAGATTTGGGAAGTTCTCTTCTCTTATTTCGTTGAGCACACTTTCTGCTCCATTTTCCTTTTCTACGCCCTCAGGAATTCTGACGATTCTTAAGTTGCATTTTCTCATTGAGTCAGCTATTTCTCTGAGATTTTCTTCAGTTTTTTAAATTCTTAGTTCTCTTTCTTCCTCTGTCTGGAGCCATTCAGCCTGTCTATCTTCGATTATGCTAATTTTCTCCTCTATGGTAGCTACACGGGCATTCAGGGAATCTATATTCTGTCTTATCTGATCCATTGTATTTTTCATCTGTAGTATTTCTGATTGATTCTTCTTTATAATTTCAATCTCTTTTGTGAAGTAACTCCAGAACTCGTTGACTTGTTTCTCTATATTTCCCCTTACCTCATTGAGTATTTTGAGGATAGCTATTTTGAACACCTCTTCATTTAGTTTACCTATTTCCAAGCCCTCAGGACATACTTCTGTATTTTTACTGTTTTCCTTTTGGACTGGAGCTTTTATAAATTGCTGGATGGTAGAGGAGCGGTTTTTGTGCATGATGGTATTATTCGGTTGCAGTTACAGCCTGTCGCCACTAGATGGGGGTCGAGAGCCTTGCATTCTGAGCCCTCTGCCTTCAGCCAATGGTGGTGGTGCACAGCTTGGGTTGGGAGAGGAGGGGCACTTTCTCTCACAAGCCGACCTGTATTGGATCAGGTCTCACTTTCTGGTCTCCCAGGGCCCTGGCTTGCTGGGGTTTCCCCACGCGAAAGCTTTCCCCGTTAGAGGGTTTCCGCTGCATGGGCGGTGGGAGTCCTGGATGATCCCCAATGCGCAGCCCCTCCGCTGCCCCTTCCCGCACCCGTGGCAGCGATTCCAGTCTCTAGGGGAGGGAGCCAAGTTCTCTCCTACCCGGTTCTAGCTTCTCCGAGGGCAGCTCCAGCCCCTCCGCCTTCTGTCGTTTGGCTCCTGTGGGTCTCTGATGGTTTCTGTTATTATGATTTTTTTTTTGGTTGGAAAGCAGTTGCTCTTTTTAGTTGTAATTTGGAGGGGAGAGAGTCCTGGGTGAGCCCACGCCACCACGTTGCTCGAAGCACCTCTCTTCTTAGCTGCAGTCATGCTGACTCTCCCACAAATGTTTCCCCATTTGTTGTTCCCCTTTGGTTGGCTTCCAGAGCCCTGAAATGGTTGCTTTTGACTAATGGTTCCATTTCATCCTTGTTTTGGGGAGAGGATTTGCCAACCTCTTCACACCACTCCAGCGGGGAGTCTGCCCAGCCTGTCATTCTGAATGTGACTGATCCTGTCTCTCCAGTCTCCTCACTCAGCCCAGTTAGAATCAAAGGGAGTGAAGGGCCACGAGCCATGATGAGCCAGCTGGATGGCTCAGTTCCCTGCTCCTCCTGCAGCACAGCCCTGTGGCTGGCCCTGACCCCTCCCACACTGCCATGCCCAGCCCCTCTGCCAAGACTGGGCAGACACGGTAAGTTTAAACCACAAAGCCCAGGTCCCAGCCGTCAGGGCTCAGGTGACTCACAGGCAGGAGCTGTGGGTCTCCTTCAGAGTGGCTCCTTGCCGCAGAGCTCAGGTGCGAGCTTCTGTCCCCCAGTGTCATTGAGCCCCCTCCTGTCTTCTCTCCACAGTTCGTGCTGAAGCACGAGGCTCTCACTCACCTCCGAGAAGTGGCACTTTTCCCCAACACACTGAACCCCCATGAGGCGGAGTCCCTGGCACTGGTGGGAGCCATGATTGACCAGATCATGGAGCTGCACCCCGGTGCCCGATGGCTCCACATCGGCTGTGACGAGGTGGGTGCCTTCATTGCTTCTCCACTCCTTAAGCCTCACCAGTGGGGCATGCTCTCCCCAGTTCTGCAGCAGTCACCTTCTCCTGCCTCATGGGTTCTTCTCTTAAATAGAAGAAATAGTCCACATCCCAAAGGGTAAAGAGGGGCTGGCTGAGGAGATGTTCCCTGGTCAGGGCATTCATCCCAGCTGACAGGTGACCTCACACGGGCAAGCCTGCAGAGCCAAGCAAGGCACGGGTGGGGCATAGACTCTCCCGTCCCCACATGGACCCTGCAGGTCAGCTGAGCGATGGGCTGGGCCCAAAATGGCTGTCCTGCCCACACCCACAGCAGCAACAGAGCCACTCCCCAGTTAGGCAAATTCACGGCCTCAGGGCTGGCCCTGGGCAGGAGTTTGGGCTGGTTACTTCTTCCAACTGAAGAAATGCAGTTTTGTATGGTGGGCCTTTGCAGCCATGGCGCACTAGCTGGAAAGGCAGTTCCCGGGACGCCGGGTGACGTGGCCTCCACCCCTCGCCCTTCTGCTTCACCCCTTCTTGAGAAACACAGACAGGCCTGGGGAAGATTCCAAGCTGGCTGAGCACAGCTGGACCTGAGGTGGATGGGGATTTGCAGGTTTTATCCCCAGGGCTTGATCTTTTTCTTCAGAGGAAATCTTTTTTTTTGTAGTAAATACATAGAACAGAATTTACCATTGTAACCGTTTGAAAGCATATGATTCAGTAACTTCTAAGCACATTCACAACAGCGTGCAACCACTACCTCTGTCCAGTTCCAGGACGTTTCCTCCCCCAAACAGAAACCCCACACCCCTTAGCAGCCACTCCCCAGCCCCCTCCGCCAGCCCCCAGCAGCCACTCATCTCCTTTGTGTTTACGGATTGGCCGCCTCATGCAGTATGTGGCCTTTTGTGGCTCATTTCACTGAGCGTGATGTTTTCGAGCTTCATCCACATTGTGGCATGTGTCAGTGGTTCGTTCCTGTTTGTGGCTGAGTAATATTCCAGTGTATGAGGAGAGCACACTCTTTACCATCCTCTTACTGGTGGACACCTGGCCGACTTCCATCTCCTGGCTGTTGTGAATAGAGCTGCTGTGAACGTTCACAGGAGATCTCGAACGGCAGTTTAGGTCCCAGTGAAGAAGGCAGGGTCGCCCTTTGCTGCCTCCTCCGCTCAGGCCACGGCATGAACTCTGGTCTCTCCCAAGTATGTCTGTGGGTGAGGAGGGCGATCTGGAGGCAAACCTGCCCTGTGTCTTCCCTCCAGGTCTATTACCTTGGAGAGGGTGAGGCCTCGAGACAGTGGCTGCAGCAGGAGCAGAACACCAAAGCAAAACTGTGTCTGTCCCATGTGAAGGCGGTGGCCAGCCACGTGCAGGCCCGGCACCCTGCCACCACGCCCCTGGTGTGGGACGACATGCTGCGGGACATCCCCGAGGACCAGCTCTCAGGTCCAGACAACCCCATTAGAACCACTTTTTCAGTTTTCTCACACAAAACTGCCATTCCCCTGAAAGACATTTTAGAATCTTGCAGGAGTACGGAAGTGACGCGTCTGAACCAGAGAGCAGCCACAAGGCCCTGGACATCAGGAGGAAGGGGAGAGTGGGGGGCAAAAGGGTCCTGATGGGCCCTGAGGGTGTCCAATGCTTCTGGCAGCCTTGGCCTCACATGACCTCACTGGCCACCCCTGAAGGGGGCCGTGGCTGAGGTTCGCACTAGCTGCTGGACGAGCCACTGGTGGAGGGAAGCAGCGGCACCCCCAGTCCCCGTGGTCTCACATCCCTATGGTCCACTCACAGCCCCGGCCCAGAGCCAAGACCCGCGGAGCTGCTCACGCTTCTGCAGGGCTTGTGTGTCCTCAAGGCAGCCACTACCACATGTGGCCACTTGGGTTGTAATTAAGATTAATTAGAATTAAATCCATTTACTGGTGTTCCTGATGCACCTGGGCCTAGTGCCCCCATCGCAGCACACAGAGCATGTCCACCCTCGCAGGAAGCTCTGGGACAGACGGCCTGGGGCTCACCCATGACAGAACTCCAGAGTCCAGTCATTTCTAAAGCTGGCTGGCTCTGTGGCTGTGACATTTACTGCCAAAAATCTGGCATGGTGTGGAGTCTGTACTTTAAAACCCACGTGTCCTGAAACAGACAGGTTGTGTTCCACTTTAACTCAAGAAGTGTGGGCTGGAGGGTGTTCTGGGTGGGTCTTGGTGCTCACGGCCTCTCTCTAACCCCAGCGTCGGGGGTGCCACAGCTGGTGGAGCCTGTGCTCTGGGACTATGGAGCCGACCTGGACATCCATGGCAAGGGTCAGTACCATGTTTCCAGGGGAAACCCCTTGTCTTGGCCCCCAAGACCCTGTAGCCCCAACTACCCAGCTGAGGGGAATGCAGGGGCCTCAGTCGCTTGGCTTAGAATTCTGTGAATTACCTCTGCTTCACCGAAGGCCTCCTCCCGCTGTGGCCCTGGGGGAGCGGGCCCTCAGCACATGTCCTGCCACCTGGGTCACTCATGGGATGGCCGTTCTCTGTGTTTTCCTAATGAACAAGTGAACCAGGGGCCACTTGTAACCAGCTGGCCTCTCTCCTCTCACCGGGATTTAAGCCTGTCCAGAACTAAACCCGGTGGTCATGGGCTCCTCCCGATTTTCCGTCTGGACAAGCATGGTATCTGGATATCCGAGTTTCAGGGCTTGGCGGCTGCAGCCCCTTGGGGACCCAAGCCAGCCACACCTCACTTTCTCACTCAGCCCTCCTCATGGAAAAGTACCGGAAGTGTGGTTTTTCCCAGCTGTGGGCTGCCAGTGCCTTCAAGGGGGCCACGGGCGTGAACCAGGCCCTGACCCCCATCGAGCACCACCTCAGAAACCACGTGCAGTGGCTGCAGGTAGCCGGCAGTGGCCCAGCAGACATGCTGCAGGGCATCGTCCTGACAGGCTGGCAAAGGTAAGGCCCCTGGGCCCAGGGAAGCTCTCGGGGCCGGCCTGTCCAGGGAGGGTCAAGGCAGCTCCCATGCCCAGACAAACTGCCCTCCTCACCAGTCCAGTCTCAGCCTCAGTCCTTCCCAAGGTTGGCTGAGGGAAAGGGGCCGGCACTCTGAGGAGAGTGTGGGAGGAGCCTGGGCCCCCAAGGAGCAGCGGTGGCTGCACAAAAAAGCCATTTGGAGTTGGGCCCCTCGCACCCCTGGGGCCTCCCAACATACTCTGCAGAGGGGACGCCGCACAGGGTATTCAGGTCCACAGAGCACGCTGGCCCTCCTGGCCCCACACCGCTATGTGATCCACACACGTGTCTGCACCCTCACCTCTAGGTCTGCAGCCTCACCTCTAGGCCACAGATGCCTGTTTGCGTCTCACATACGCCATGGGGGCAGATTTTGGCTCTTTCAGGATTTCACACCATTTGAAAAGTAGAGCTACAAATGAACCCCTGGTCCTGGGCCAAGTCCTGGCCACAGGTCCTGTCCTGTGATTGGGGTGGCCGAGACGGAGGCCAGGTGGCCGCAGTACCAAGGGCAGGGCAAGTGCCCTGAACCAGCAGGAGGCAGCCGGAGGCAGGGCCCTGCAGGTGAGCTCCAGGCCCGGCCTGTGTCCTGCAGATGCTCCAACCTCACTTACAAAGCTGAACTCATTAAGGACTTCAGGTTGGTGACCGCAGAGCAGTAAGCCCCAGGCGGGGTCTCCTGGGCAAGGTCCAAGTGTGTCTGCCAGCCACTGGGAAGCCCATGGACATTTCCAGAGGCAGCAGCGGCACTGCAGTAGCTTCTGGTTGCCTGTCCTGTAGTGCAGTGAACAGTGTGCAAGCATCTGCTGCAGGGCACAGGGCGGCGGGAGCTGAGTGCCCCTCTCCTGTGGACTTAGGTACGACCACTTTTCCGTGCTGTGCGAGCTGCTGCCCGTGGGGATCCCGTCCCTGGCCGTCTGTCTGCAGTCACTCCTACATGGTATGGTCCCCCTGCTCCTCCCAGGAAGATAGGAGGGCAGGAGGCACAGAGGCCGAGTGCCCGATGCCCCCAGTTGCCGCCTCCTCAGGGCTGGACTAGGGTCTTCCTCATGGGTTGGGGAGGACGAGCTCACCAGCCCAGCTTAGCTGCCCAACCACCCCACATCTTCAAACCTAAACCTAAGGGAAGCCAGTAAGTTGGGGGAAGAGCCCCCCAGACATAGTGAACCCATGAAAGAAATTCATCATGGATGGGGTACAGAAGAGGTTCCACCTTTGCTGCATGAATGTCCTAAACACCCAGTGCTGGCAAGTTGTGTGGGCCCAGGGGAACACCTTACCCCAGCACTCCCACTTCTAGGTCACCCGCGGGAGCAGCGGGACATGGGGCAGAGGTGTGGGGACATTCCTTAGAGCACCGACTAGGACAGAAGTCAGGAGTCAGTGGAAGGGCTTGGGTAAATAAAGTGTGTACATTTAAATTCTGAGACTATGTAGGAATTTAAGATGATGGTGTACGTGGTGTTGGCGCAGAAAGATGTCTGAATGCATTAGGAAAGCGGGGCACTGAAACACATGCTGCTTAAGGAGGACTGTGCAGGCCCAGAGAGGAAGGAGAGACGGCAGACCCTGTCATTTTACTCTTTCTGAGTGTCAGTATTCAACCATTTAGAGAAGGGCACAGCAGATAACCGAGACGTGTTAACACTAGTGGTGTGGACTTCAGCTCCTCCTCCCCCGGGAGCTGGCAGCCCTTCCACGCGCCTCCACCTTCTGCCTCCACATGTGGCCCCTGCATGTTCTCAGCTTCCTGCCAGCCTGTGACTAGCCTCCTTTGGTGGGTGCTTCTCACCCGCCCTGACCTGGAGGTTTATTCACTCTGGTTCCTGCGCGCCTCCCTGGTTGGCTTCAGTTGCCCTAGAGTGTTCCACTGTGTGAGAAACTGCGATTGCAAACCACTGCATGATCCCTGGGCGGCTGTGCAGTGGCCAGGCAGCGCGGTCTGGGCTTGCCTGCAGGAAGGCCGAGGTCACCCCACATGGCATCTCAGCAGTCATCTCCTGGGTGGAGATGCTGCTGGCCACGCTGATCTCATTTCCATTTCCTAGTTTTTAACACCACAAACGCATTTTCACATGCATAATGAGAAACACTGGGCTCACCCATTCCCAAGGTCTCTTTAGGTTTGGCACGTGCCTGGCCGGCCCTGGCAGGCAGACCCCCTCGGTCACTTAGCCCACAGCCTGAGGGCCTGGAGGTCCGACCAGGCCTCCTCCCCATTCTCCAGAGGCTGCACCAACCGCCTCTGTCTGTGGTTGGTTTCAGGAGGCTTTGCTGAAGATGTTAAAGCAAGAGTGGAGAACTTCCTAGGGATTTCCAGCCTGGAAATAACTGATTTTATGAGGTACCCCACACCCCAGCCCTGCCTCTCCCCTCACGCTTGGACCCGTCTCAGCTCAGCGTCTCTGTGCAGGGAAGGAGCCGGCTCCTTCCCCGGAAGCGACATCCTCGCCCTCATCACGCAAGTCAGCCTCCACCTGCGCAGCTCCGTGGACGCACTGCTGGAGAGGGACAGGTGAGTGGGCAGGGGCGAGCCGCCACTGTGCCCCGCACCGGACAGGGCACGGGCCAGCCCATCCTGCATGGAGACTTTCTAGTGGGAAAACGACTTTTTAAAACTTCTACCAGACTTTTATTCAAAGGTATTATTTAAAAACCACTGGAGGCCACCTGCAGCGGGCTGACCAGGTGCATGGATTTGCCCCCAGGTACGTGACCGGCTGGTTCAGCCCCTTCCATCGCAGGCGGAAGCTCATCCACCCGGTCATGATCCAGCACATCCAGCCCCAGGCCCTCAGGTAGCCCCCCACCAGACAGTGCCCACCCAGGTTGCCCGGCCTCCCACCAGGTGGCAGCTTTCCGTGTCGATCGGCTCTGCGCTAAGACAAGCTTTCTAGGCATCGCAGCCAGGGGTTCCTGGGTGAAAACTTTGCTGAATCAGCTGTGCCCTCCAGCAGAGAAAAGCTAAGGCACTCTGATCCCACGAGAGTGAAGGTCGCCAAATGCCCCGATGGCATCCAGGGCTCATTGTGCCCCTCGCCCTCCTGGTACCACAGGAACAGAGTCCCCGCCAGCCAGCCCTCCCCGGTGCTTTCCTGGCTCACGGCTCCCAGCTGAGGCCAGTGCAGCCTGTCCCACTGAGTGTAAGGTGCTGTCAACCGTCAGCAGGTTCATGCACAAGAAAAACCCTGCCAGCCAGTCATAAAGCACATTCGAGTTTCAGATGTTATTCATGTGACAGTCACTGTCATTCCCACCAGCCCTGTGAGGTGGGCACTAATAGCCCCATTTTACGGATGGGTTCACTGAGGTACAGAACTGCACTGACCCCTGGGGTTGTTGAGGACATGAGTGGAGAGTGCGTAGGCCTGGGCTGTCACCCAGGGGTCCTCACTCGGTGGGCCCACTGCCGTGTGTGGTCCTCAGTCTCCTGGCCAGGTGGAGTGCCCTCGTGGGGGAGTTGGAGGCCGCCCTGCAGCGTGTCTTCTACTCGGACACCGTGGAAGAGTGGCTGGAGGAGAACGTGTACCCCAGCTTGCAGCAGCTGCAGGGTCTGCTGCAGGACCTCAGCGAGGCGGCTGGCCCCCCACCCTCACTGGCCAGCCCTGGCCTGTACACGAGTCAAGACCCCTGAGGGGAGGGGGCCGATCGTGGGCCTCCTTGCACCCTTGTCCAGCTGCATCCGGCCTGACGCTTGCCTCCTGTTGAGCCCGGGACAGCGAGCAAGCAGGCAGCACCCAGGGTAGACAGTTATCGCTGGGGAAAGAAAAGTGGAAACACAGAGAAAAAGGCCCCTGGGAGTGAGTGATGACCTGCATGTGGGACTTGAGTTCTGAAATAAAAAGAGCAGGAGCTAGCAGTCATGTTGAGAGAATCTGAAACAGACTCGTACTCCCTGGCTCCCAGTGCTGCAGTCAGGCCCTCACAGTGGTCCCAGGACCCGCCTCGCCCTGGCAGCCCAGAAACAACCCAGACCAGGGGAGGGGAGCCGGCCACACAAACTCCTTCCCCCTTATCTCAAAGCCTACAGCCCGCGAGATGAGCACTCCAGAAACCAGTGATAGCGTTTTGCCTTTTTATTTTAGAAAAAAAGCATTTCAGATGTAACCATTTAAAAGCCTAACTTTGACATGTTTAAATGACCACATCCCCAAACTAAGGGCTAGGGCTGGTTGGTAGCCACCGCTGAGAAAGGAGAGGATCTCATTTTTCTCAAGTTCCCTAGAAATGCTGTCCTTACTCTCACCCAGGGGGCCTCAAACGCCTGCATCTGGGTGACATTCTGGTTATACCAGGCCATTCCCAGGGGCACAGCCTCCTGGGTCCCCACTCAGAGGTTCTCTGAGCACAGGCTACACCTTAGAGGGACCTGCCTTCAAAGAAAGCCATCTCCACTCAGGACCAAACCAGCAGGGCAGGTGCGGGTTAGCTGGCTGATGCCCAGCTTCCATGGGGGTGGCTGCAGCCGTCAGGGCCCTGCTGAAGGGCAGCCATGAGCCAGCCCATTCCTGCAGCACACAAACAGGCCCAGCCTCCAGGCCTTCCCCGGGTTCCAGAGAAGCTAGGAGTCAGATTTCTAAAGCAGAGATCCTGGTTTTTAAGCACTGCATGAGGCAAGAAGAAATAAGCTCTTCTCTTGCCAAGCAGCCTCTGCCCAGGCTGAGGGCAGAGAGTGGAGAGCGTGCTCCCCATGACGGCCCAGCTGTAATCCAAGATGGATCCAAGACGAGCCATCTAGGTAGAGTGGTCTGTGCATTGGGGAGGCCTCAGGAGTGGCCGCGGCGCACACAGCCAGGAGGACCCCTTGGCATCTGCCCTGTGTGCTGGCAGCCTGGGGGCAAGTACCTCACTTCCGACCAGTGAGGACATCCGTCAGGGAGGGGATGCTGCGTGGGGAAGGAGATGCTGGGATTCTTGGGGACAACACGCCCACATCAGAGCCTAACCCAGCCGCTGGCCCCACAGGCACCTGCTCTAGCCTTGCTGTAACCTGCGAGCTGAGTTCCTGTGGGATCCGGTGCTTGCAAACCTCCCTCCCCACTGAGTGCTCAGTCTCAGTGAAGGAATGCCCACCCTGGACGACTGGGGCGTCCTTGTCATTTCAGAGGCTCAAGCCCCACATGGCTGGTGAGCTGTGGGGTGGGTCTGTCTAGACTGGGCCACACCACCCATCACCATCACAAGCCACACTGCCCAGGCCAGGGCCATCTGATTCCAAGAGGCAGATCCAAGGCCCATGGCTTCCTGGACACCTTGGAGCCTGCAGAGAAGGTCCAGCCTGTGGTTTTGCTCAGAGGGCAGAAGCAAGCAGCAGGAACGGCTGAGGGTCCCACCCTGGGGCTTCCAGGGACACAGGCAGGCACTGAGGAGAAGACTCGCCGGCAGCCCATCAGGCCTGCTGAGGTGCCGTCAGAATCAAGGCCGGGAGCTCCATGGGTGTCAGCTCTGGCTCTTGGGGCCATCGGCCTCACTGTCGCTGCTCTGAGACAGCTCCATGGGACTCTCAAGACGGTGCAGCTCCAGGAAGGCGGTGATGAGCTTGGCAATGGCTTCCACGTCACTGGGCCGGGCCAGCACCAGGAGGAAGGGCTGGTTACCGTGGTAGAGGTGACAGCCACCCCACAACCAGGAAGACTGCGTTAGTCTCATCCTGGACCACCCACCTCCAGCACCCTTATGGCTCCCCACCAGGACCCAGCACCTTCTGTCCTGATCCCCACCTCACCCGACCCCAGCCCAGCCCTATGTCCCCACAGGGGTGGGGTCCCCTGACGTCCCTGGCCCCACATGGGGACCTGAGTCCCTGTCCTCTCTCTGTCCCTGTGAGGACCCTCAACATTCCCACAGTGGCGGCAGCAGGCCTGCCCCCCAGCCTGCGCCGCCTCCCCCAGGATCCTCCAAGTCCTTTCCCCGTGCCCTGCCGTGCTGGGTGGTCCACTGTGAGGGCCACCTGATGGGCGAGAGGCACAGGCAGGCTGCTGCAGCCAATCGAGTCACCTGTCCTCGGCCTACCTGCGGTGGCCCATGACAGCGCTCTGGGTGAGAGGGTGGGAGAAGCCTGTTGCAAACCGCAGCACCACCACGTAGCCCTTCCCGAAGTACCGGACCTTTTCCTCCTCCACATTCACGTCCCGGATGTCATTCAGCAGGACCACCACTGTGGGCGGGGGCCGGTCAGTGGCAGTGTCCCTTGCCCACCCTCCCCCTCCCACCTGTGTGCTGGACGCAGTCACTTCAGGGCCACTCTGCACAAGACCATATCACGCTTGCCATGAAGCAGAAAGCGTCTGTCACTCTGTGCCTGAGGATGGACCCCAGAAAACAGCCGAGACCCTGACCTTAGATGTCAGAGGTCAGTGACCACAGTGCAGGGTTGTGTGGCTGCCGGTTAAAGTCCAGTCTAGGTGAGAAAGAACATCCAGTGGACCCATCACCACCTTGAAAAACCAGCCCATTCTCTCACAGGCAGTCTAACATGCAGCTGAGCACGATGCTGCCCATCTTTCTGCTTCGTTTTCTCCAACTTTTGAAAAATGCTTTCCTGGTCCCTAGTGGCTGGTCACTGAGCTGGGGGCTGCCCAGCAATTCTCTTTGGGCCAGGGCATGTCCATGAGGCGGGACATAACTCTGGTCACTGAGCAGCCAGCTGGATCCAGCCCATTTTCAGACCTCAAGCCCAGTCCCCACCATCACACATAAGACACTCGCTGCCCTCTGTCCAGCTTGGAGTAACCAGCCTCCTGACGCCCACCATGCCCCATGTCCTGGTCACTCCCCACGCCTGACCTTGGTCATGGCCTGCTCTGGAAAGAGTCAGCAACTTCTTGTACAAGCTGAACGTCTTCAGCACGACCTTCCCAGTGCTCTTGTTGAAGATAGCTTCCTGGAAAACCAGCAGAACGTGGTCACTCAGCTGCTGGCCTCTCTGTGCACAAGCTGACCACACACAGACCTCCAGAGAGGGGCCCAGGCTTGCTGACTACGTCCCCACCCTCGCCAGAGCAGACAGTCAAGAAGGGGGTGGCCCCTCATCCTCCCCACCGACCCCAGTCAGGACCCTCAAGTGCTGCTCCACCAGAGCCAAACCCCTGCAGCCAGGCCCTCTCGGCCGGGGAAACAGGCTGTAAAGAGAAAGCCTGGCATCGAGGCACACGCTCCCTCCTCTTTGTGAGTGAAGACGAAGTAAGTACAAAGGCCAAGGTCACCAAACAAGGGGATGGAGGTGAGAGGATGGAGAGCAGCACTGGGCCAGGTGGCTCAAAGGACTCACGAAGCGGGGGCCAGGGGAGGGTGCCAGCCTTCTACCCAATTCTTTTACCCAAGAATTTGGGTAAAGCAGTCATGAAGAGCTAGGAGAAAAACAACTTCAGAGCACTCCTTGGCCCAGGAATGGTCACAGACAGGCAACGTCCTGGGGGTCGAGTCCAGCCAACCAGAAACCACTAAGTTAAAGTTTCAGGACAATGGCATTAGGTCCCCGGGACCTTCTTTCTGCTGTGATTCCCATTGCAGGGAAACCTGGGAACGGAACACCCGAGCACCTTCACCTGTGGTGGCCTTACCTCCCAGTCCTCTAGGTTCTGCACAGCCACGAACAGGCAGCCTGTGACATAGAAGAGCTTCCAGCCCAGACTGTCTGGGGAGCAAACACAGGAGGCAGCTGGGTGAGGGATAGCAGCAGAGGGGCAGAGGCCGACGTGCCCACGGGGGGTCCCCCCTCCCCAGCACGGCGGCTTCCCACACACTGGGCAAAGTGACATCTGGGGCCCAGCTGACTGCCCATGCCTGCAAGGAACCCCCTCATGGGGCACCCCTCCCTGCCTCTGGCACTGCTGGCCCTGCCTGTCACTCAGGACCACACGAGATATGCTCCGCCATCTCTGCCCGCAGCCCTCCTTCTGGGTGTCTACTCAAGACAGGTAGCTGGGGCTGACTGGTCTCTGCCAATGATGGCATGCTCTGCGATGGTGGAGAGGTGGCAATGCTTACAGGGAATGGCTGAAAGCGCGGCTCATCCCCTGCCACAGAACCTTAGCAAACATGACAGAGCACCTTTCTGAAGAGTATTTTACGACACGAGAGAATATTCGAGATATAGTAAGTGACAGAGGCTGCAAGGGATGAGCACATGAGGAAGAATACAGCAGCTCACAGAGGTGGGGCAGCTGCGAACCATCAGGAGGCAGAGGCGCCAGTGATCCCAAAGCCCATGCCTTGATGGGTCACAAATGACAAGTTTCCCTTCTTTTCTCTATTTTCAAAACAGCTGAGGAAGTTACTGGGGGCAGATGATGCACCTTACCTCCACTGTAGTAGGCAGCAGCCAGGCCAATGGACAAGATGCCTGCAAAGAGAAAGGGGGCACCTTCCTACTGGGCCACTGCCAGCTCAGGGCCCACCTCCTCCCAGGAGCCCTGGGCAAGCAGGCCCTTCCCACTGCCAGGGATGGCTGGGGTGGGGAGCAGGAGAAGAGAACACTATCAGGCTCAGAAATGGGGGAAACAGCCAGGAGGTTCGTTCAGAAACATGGTATATGCCATTCCCAGTATTCACTGGATACATCGGACTACACGGCTCCAGAGCTGACTGGGGAACCAGACAGAGAAGCCTGACGTGCATTTTACCCCAAAAGCACGTGTTGTGGAATGAAGATAAGACTCTATGTAAAGAATCACAACACAGCACGTGAGGTGGAATGGGAAGGAGGCCACGTGCAGGGTCACAGGGAAGAAGAACAGAGGCTGCTGGAGGCACAGTGGCCCCTCTCCTCACGTCACTGGTCCAACCAACACAGGGCAGCTGCCCAGAGTGCAGGACCCTCCGTGGACAGCGACCTTCCCCCACTTACTCCTCCCTGAGGAAGAGGCAAAATGGACTGCACCACTGTGTGGGCCTGCGAGATGAATCACTGACACCTGCGACCAGGTGTATGAAAGCAAGTAAAAAGAGAAATAAAGGGAGCTCAGAAGAGCAAGCAGATCATTAATGAGAGGATGTTAAGTGGTGAACACACACAAAAGAGACTCGCATCATCTGTAAAAGCAGGATAAGACCTAGGAGGATGCAAAGAAATAAAACAGTTGCTACATTTGGGGGCAGTAAAACAAAGGAAGAAAACTCGAGTTTCATTTTCATCCTTTTTTGAAGTTAGATTTTTAATTTTGGGAGTAATATGGAAATCCTTACCAACCAGCAGGGACCAGGACCTGATGCCCGGAGCCCTCTTCAGATGGAGGCAGGAGCTGGTGCGCGTCTCCACCTGCATGTACATCCCTGGAACGTTCCAGCACCACTCTCAACAGGAGACCCAGGGGGGCTGGGGAAGGGCAAACAGAAACAGCTGGAGCCCTAGAGCCGGTGCCCACAGACAAGCACCCAGCTCCTCATCAGGACGGGAAGCCGGGGCTGGCCAACCAGCGAGGCCCACACAGGCTGTGCTGACCGCAGTCTCTGTGGTGGGGCCAGTCACTCAATCCCCCAGGGACCGTTCCTCTGTGAGGAAGGCCCTTCCCTGCTCAGCCTGACTGCACCGGCGCCACCGCCCTGCTCAGACTCGCAGAGCGGCAACAAGCGCTCGCTCACCGCCTGTCTTACCTGGAAACCTCAGTCTCCCAGAGACCGTTAGTCCCCAGCAGCCTTCAAGCTTCCGGCACCCTACCAGAACCTACCAGGACGCCCTCATTTCCCTGTGCTGGCCTCCGCCAAGAAAGGGAACTGAAAGTCTCATGGTGGCGTGAGTCTGTACCGGCCCGGGCAGAGAAAGCCAGCATTGCGGTCTCCGCCAGCTGCTGAGACAGCAGGCCACACCCGGCGGAGGGTCCAGGAGGCCCTGGAGCATCGCTGCACGAACCAGTCACCGAGGGGACTGACCTCCACATGGAGAGTCCCGCCCTGCACCGCAAAACCCGAAACGCAGGCTCCAGGGACCCGGTTCTGGGAGCTTTTCAGATATGCCCTGTAAAGTCAGACTTCTAACACAAATAGTGGATTCAATCCACACACAGGAATCCTGGGACTTGGTCCGTCACCCGGCTCCCTCCCCGACGTCACTCATCTCTGTCTCCACGCGCGTCCAAGCTGTCCGCGCGGGCGAGGTCACGCCGGGCACAGGCCTGGGCGAGGGGCGCCGGCCTGCGGCGGACTCGCCCGACCCCTCCGGCCGCCCTGCCCGCCCTGCCCGCCCTGGCCCTCCGCGTCACCGGCCGGGCGCCAAACTCGCGGCCCCAGGACGACCCGGGCCAAGTCTCCACACCACGCTCCCGAAGGGCGGGGCTCAGGCCCGGAGCCCCCAGCCCGCCGCCCCCCCCCCCGCCCGGAGGGCGGCACGGCCCCGGGCGCCTACCGACGACGCTACTCGGCGGGCGCGGGCCCGAGCGCGGGCAGGGCGGGAGGTCGGGGCTGCGGGCGGCGGAGGAGGCCGCCGACTTCCGGGGTCGGGGGCGGGACGGCTGACTTCCGGGGGCGGGGGCGGGGCATCGTCCAAATGGCTGGACTCTGGCGGCGAGAACGCAGGGAAGGGGGCGGGGAGAACACCAACTTCCGGGGGCGGGTGGGCGGCACCTCCCAAATAGGGAGGGTTCCCGGAAGTTTCGGCAGTGCAGGTGCGGGCGATTTCCCTGCGGTCCGGTGAGCCGTAGCTAGTCCCCTCCAAGTTCCAGACGTCAGCCCGGGCTGGTCGGTCGTAGCCTTGGGAGTGGTGGTCACGCCTGGTTTCTTCCTATTCTTAGATTCTTTGTAGTCCCGTGTACTTCGTACTGGCCAATCCCTTCTTGCCCCGATCCCCGGTTACGTTTAATAGTTCTTTGTGTTAAACTCTGTTCAGTTACTGTGTGGTTTCTCTTTCTGTGGACCCTGTCGAATACATATACCCGCACAGTGGCGTGTTATGCAGCTATGAAAACGGAATGAGGAATATCTCTGTGTATTACTATGGAGTCGTCTGCAGCGTTTATTGAGTGAAAAAAGGACGGAAAAGAGTGTGTACGGATGCTATAGTTAAGAAAGGTGCAAATATATAAATATGGTTTGAAATATATAAAATGTAGTGGTTTTGTTACGCATAATAGAGTTAACGCTGTTAGTCTGAGACTTTTTATGTGTGTAATGTGAGACAATACAAGTGAGTATATTATATTATGTAGGTGCCTCTGGGAATCAGGAATTTCAGCATGAGAGGATGGAGTCACAGGTTTAAGATGAAAGAGGTTAATAAATTAGAACCCTGCATTCCTGGATTTGAATTAGAACGACCAGTGTGAATTCATAATGTATTTTGTCTGTAAAATGTACGTATTTCCCAATGCTGTCCACTGAAAAGTCCTAGAAACAATGACCAATCCAGTAGCAATGAGCAATTCTAGTACCCATTTTCTGTTTTTTAAATACCATTTACTACTAAAAGCTTCTTAGAGAAAAGACTTCATTTCAGGTCTGAAGCAAGAAATGTACAAGGATATGTATCGAAAAGCAAAGACACTATTAGCGTCTTGTCAAAAAATTTAGGAGCCTAACTGAAGAGAATCTCATTGCCAAAAAAAGAAAGAAAAAGGATTTGCGCATCAATAAGAACAATAATTTAAATGAACTGAAAATCCTCAGGGGTTTAAGTCCATAATTCATAATATGTTTTTAAATTCTTTGTTCACTTTTGGAGGATGTTGAGAAACAAACTTGGACTTTTTGACCAGTTAATGAAGGGAAGAAATCAAGCATTTATCTTGCCTTTCTTTATAAAATTTACAACAGAGTAATCAAATAGTGGGTGAGAGGAATTTCTCATTATAGAAGTATTCCTGCTAATAATAAATGAAGAAGAAATGGTAGGATTAAAATACCCTAAAAAATGAATGGATCTGGCAATGTCATCAATGGCTGTTAATTAACATCACAAAAAGGACAGTAAGATAGTAGAACCTCCTGATGGAATTATACAACACCATGAAATGGTCCTTCCAAAAAAAGTTAAGCTGTGATCAAACCACTGGACTGTTGTAACTACACTTTACTGAAAATTCGGAGGACAAGGGTATGCTAGAGGGTTCCGCAAGGATGCTGTCAGCAACGGCCAGAAACCCTGCAGACAAACAACCTGATTTCTGTATGATGATATGCAAGAAGAAAGAGAGGGATGTGCATGGAAACTACAGATTAAAACAAAAACAAAAACCGTAAGATTGGGAACTCTGTGTACTATCTTATCAACTTCTAAGTGAGCCTCAAGTTATTTGAAAACAAGTGTTTTTAAAAAGAGAGACTTAAGAAACACAGGCCAACTGCAATACAGTCTGATAAACACATTGGACCTTATTTAGATCCTGATTTAAACTAAAAAACCGGACAAGATGATTGGAGAAACCTCGACACTAAGTACCTACAAAGCCAAGTATCTGACGGTTACTGTAACTGTTCAATGAGAACATGATTACCTTTTGACCTTTTTCCCAACACAGACACAAATGGAAAGAAGTTAACCTTGTTAATTTGCTGTTTTCTTGTTTAATCTGAGGGGTGACTCAAGGGTCACAAGGATTTATGAGCTTATTTTGTGGAAAAAAAAGAATGCTTTCCAGGAAGTTACCATCACCAGATAACCAGGCCTCAGCTGCAGTTGACTACCAGAAGTCTGACTGCCCAAGGGCTTAGCTGGAGTAAAAGAAACATGGATTTACCCTTTGTTTCTCTGAAACTTGTCTTCCCAAGCTCCTTAGCTCTATAAAATCCCCTGCTTTCTTTTTCTAAGGCAGATTTGAGAGAACCTATCCTCACACCTCGTTTTGACCAATTTGAATAAAGCTTTCTCTATCTCCAAGCACCAATGTCTCAGTGACTGGGTTATTGCACTTCAGGGACACAAACTTGAGATTCAGTGGTTCTGTATCACACATTTGATGAAATTAATTGTAATCTGCTTTTCTCACATGATAATGGTATAGTGGTTATAACACATTAACAAAAAATACATACATATGACAACCTAAAATTATCCTCTTATTCATGCTGAAAATTGAAGATATTTTCTGAGAGGTGCTGACACAGATTTGAGTAATGCAGAGTTAACCTGGCAGCCAGTTAAGACTTCCTGAATCGAACTGATGCATTTGTAAAAACCTCTATGAACCCAAAGTTCTGTAAGTAAAAAAAAAGGAAAAAAATCTGAAGACCACAGTGAAGTTCTGGCCCCTGGAATACCCTTAAATGTTTCATTGACCTCTGTCATTGGGGTTAGGAGGGAGAACAAAGGGTCTATTCCTGCGATTCCTGAGAACTTCTGGTGTTCCATAAAGATAAAATCACCCACAAATTGCTTTTCTTAGTTCCACTCAACTCTTCCAGGCAAGTCTCCCATTTTTGATTGTCCTGTAATGAGCATGCTCTGATGCTAGAAAATGTTTATAATTAACAGAGCTCAGCCTTCGCGTTTCAATTGGCCCTACACGTGGTATCAGTTCCTTCGGGAAACGCTTATTCTGTCTGTAAAGTGCTAGGGCCGGGTAAGAGGTGGGACCGGACGGCGACGTCCGCGACACCCACTTCACACCAGCCCTCGTGCTCTCGGCGCGCCACGTGGGCCCGGGTCCCACACGCGTGCGCACTGCCGCCTCGCCCGGCCTACGTGACACGCCTCGGGACGGCAATGGCGGCGGGCCGGAGAGGCGCTGTCTCCGCCGGCCTGAACAGGGAGGGAGACGCGTGTCCGGGCCCGAGCTGACGGGCTCGAGATCCCCGGAACGACCCCGGCTCGCCCCCTTCGGGACCATCCTCTCGCTCGCTCTGCGAGGCCGGCAGATCTCCACGAAAAGCCGCCCGGCTTCCGCGGCGTCGGGACGAGGCGGTCCACGCTCCGCCCCCACGCGCTCCAATTGGCTCCGGGGCCCGGCGCGCCCCTTCTCGGTCCTCCCATTGGCCTAGGCAGAGCCGTGCAGGGTGGAGCCGCACCGCCGTCCGCGCGCTCCTATTGGCTCAGGGGTGTGGCTTGCCCGTTCGCGGCGCTCTCATTGGCCGAGGGGAGATGCTGGGGGTGGGGCCGCGCCGGGGCGACGACAACAAAGGGCGGCGGACAGCGGGCGGCGGTGACCGCGTCTCCCGTGCTTCCTTCAGCGCGCGTCCCGGTTCCCGCCCGCCCAGCTCCAGATGAAGTGTGAGCACTGCACGCGGAAGGTGAACCCCTACGTCCCAGCCGGCGCCGGGGGTCGGTCTGGCCGGGGTCGGGGCTGCTGGGGGTTCGGTCCGGCCGGGGGCCAGGGTCTGGGTCCCGGGGCTGGGGTCAGGGGTCGCGGCCGAGGTCGGGGGCTCGGGATTGCGCGGTGCCTGCCCTCGGAGCCTGGTCCCCGGAGCGCGCGGTCGGGAGCGTGGGCGGGCGCTGGGGGCGCACCGCAGTCGTGGGCCGGGTCCGCAGCTCGAGGGCCCCTCCGTCGGCACCGCTTCGCTGACCGGAAACCTCGGGGCTCTCGGACTCGGTCCTGTGTCCACCAGCGCCAGAGGCGGCTCGATGGGTGGAGGAGGGCCGCAGCGGGGTGGTCTACTCGAGACGAGCCGCGGCGCGCACGCCAGCCGCTCCTCCCGGGTGTGCGGCGCTCCTGCGGCCGGGTCACCTTTCCGGCTGCCCTCGAGCTAACGGTGTCCTCGGGTGCGGACTGGTCTTTCTACTCCTCAGTGCGCTTGTCCAGCCTTTCACAATATTCTTGAAGCAGAAAAAAAAAGCCGGAAGAGGTAACCTATCTCTGTTACCACTCAGAGCTGTCACAGCAAACACCATTCTCCATGTGAACGCTTGATACAACGGTCAGAAAAGTTTTTGAGGGTTTTTATACTTTCCGGGAACTTACATACCTGTGGTGACAAAACAGTGCTGAAGTGTGGGAAGGCAACGGGCAGGTCCTCTCCACGCGGGTAACCGGGCTGACTGTGATAGCCTTCCACCCTTGTTTCCAGGCTGTGATGACAACCGTGTAGTGCGTGCACAGGGGGGGTTGTTTGTTTTTCCAAAAGTGGGATCATAGCATAAATATTCCATCGCTTGTTCTTTTTGTCTTAACATGGTACAGAAGATAACTTTTCAGAGCATTACATATAATTCTGGCTCACTGTGTTTTCAGTATAGATGTGTCCAGGTAGTAGAGCATTAATTTACCTGTTGATGGAAGGACACATTGCTTCTAGTTTTAACTTGC